CGTGTCCTCTTTTGGAAGACCAAACAAAGTAGTTTCGCTTTCACAACGAAACACATGGAGGCCTAGAGTGAGCTTGAGAACGGAGCGTCCGGCGGGCTTGCGGCAACCACATGTGACGACTCCGGGGCTGGACTCCGCTTCATCCGTGGTGAAAGCCGATCCGGCGATCCACAGCGTGAAGTTGTTGTATTTCCTCAGCAACCATTAAAGGAATAGTTCACCCAGAAATGAGAATGAATTCTTCATTCACCCTCAGGTAATACCAAACCCCCAATGCATGTGCTTCTTAAGTGGATCACAAAATAAGTTTAGCAGAATGTCCAGGGTGCTTTTTCATACAATGAAATGAATGTAGACTAGACGGTTAAAGGAATAAGGCAGATAAATAATGAAATCAATGTAATTTTTTTTTTGTCTTGCTCTAAATGGTCCTTTTGGCAAGATTTGCTTGTTTCGGTTCTCTGATTTGCTCAGATTTCTTTGCAGAATCGTGAGTAATGTAGTTTTTCAATGAGGAATTCTGCTGTTGAACACAATTATTTAAAAAATAAGTAAAAATAATGCAGGCTGATAGCTCAACAAAAGCATATGCATTAAAGGGTTAGTTTATCCAAAAAATTTAAATTGTCATCATTTGCTTACCCTAATGTTGTTCCAAAACCACAAGACTTCCGTTCATCTTCAGAACACAAATAAAGATATGTTTTATATTCTCTGATAATTTTTTCCCCAATCCATTAAACGTCCACACAAGCAAAAATTTCAAGCCTCAAAAAGTACATAAAGACATTGTAAAAGTAATCCATGAGAATAAAGCTAAATAATCCAAGTCTTTTGAAGAGACATGATGAGCAGGTTTAATTTAGACTTTTATTGACATTTAAACATTGATTCGATCTGACTTTCTGACTTACTCTGTGCACATCTCAAACGGTAAATGGAAACTCAAATATGCTTGCTTGATGTGTGGGAACCAATGAAGTTCTTTATCGCACATCAGTCACAGAGTGCTTACATGCATTACTTTGACAATGTATTTATTTTTGAAGCTTGAAATTTTGGTTGCATGGATTTACAATGGATGGTCAAAAATGAAAAGAAATTATTAAAGGGATAGTTCACCCAAAAATGAAAATTCTGTCATTAATTACTCACCCTCATGTCGTTCCAAACCCGTAAATAATTTTATCAACAATTCTTCTCCCCCGAGTTTCGTCTTCTGCCATTTTAGAGAGTATCACAACACATACACACGCTCCCTAAGCGTAAACAACGCTGATTACGCAGATTACGTTCGTGCGCGTGCTTTCTACCCCGAACGTAAACAACGCTGATTACGCAGATTACGTTTGTGCGTGCGCTTTCTCGCCCGAACGTAAACAACGCTGATTACGCAGATTACGTTCATGCATGTGCTTTCTCGCCCGAATGTAAACAACGCTGATTACGCAGATTACGTTCGTGCGCGCGCTTTCTCCCCCGAACGTAAACAATGCTGATTACGTCGATTACGTTCTTGGGTACTCTCCAAAATGGCGGAAGACGCTACTCAGGGGAGAAGAATTGTTGAATAAATTATGTTCTTTTTGTTTTCTTTGCGCTCAAAAAGTATTCTCGTAGCTTCGCAAAACTGAAGTTGAGCCACTGATGTCACATGGACTGTTTTACCGATGTCCTTACTACGGTTCTGGACCTGGGAACATTACAGTTGCGTTGCTGTCTATGCAGGGTCTGAGAGCTCTCGGATTTCATCAAAAATATCTTAATTTGTGTTCCGAAGATGAACGAAGGTCTTACGGGTTTGGAATAACATGAGGGTGAGTAATTAATGACATAATTTTCATTTTGGGGTGAACTAACCCTTTAAAAATATCTTCATTCATGTTCCAAAGAAGAACGAAAGACCTTGGGTTTGGAACAACATGAGGGTGAGTAAATGATGATAGAATTTTCATTTTTGGGTAAACTTTATACCATTTGTGTACTATTTGAAAATTAAGACATGACTTGTGTAGACTACTTTAATGATACATTTATGGTGCTAATTTAAATTTTTTTTGGCAGCTGCTGGTCTTTTGAGTCCATGGAAGGAGCTCATACAGGTTTGGAATGACACAAGGGTAAACGATGACAGACAGATGACAGCACATTTTTGGGTGAACAATCTCTCTAAGAAACACTTTTCATTTGTAGTAATAGCAGCACTGTGAGTCTATGGACTCTGCCCATCATAGCCTGGATACAGGACATCTAGGACATATCCAACATTTTAAAGCAGTTAACAAACATTACAGTCTCATTATCAAACATGGAGCAGAGATTTGTGTGTAATGTGTTTATGACACACTCTAATGGGCTCCGACCTGCTCTTCCTGCAGTGAATGTCTCCATCTCGCTGTAGATCAATATTTACACACCTAAAGCAGATGGGCACAGGTCTGTTGAAAATAGTAAATGTGCCAGTACTCTTCCCTCTCCGTTCCTGTCTATATCTCCTTTCACCTGACATTGTTTTGATGGCGAGATAGATGCATAACAGCAATGTCCAGATGTCTTGAGTGGAGCTGTATTTGATTTTCACTGCACTGGTTTCCCCTCTGACTCATACAACAACATATTGATTGCTGTTTGAATTATATGAACGTCATAAATTTAACTACTGAGGTTGAAAGTAGTTCCTAGTTTTGCACTGTTTCAAAATGATTGATGTAAATGCTCCAAGTTTAACACTCGAAGCTAGGTGGTTGTTCATATCATTAACCCTTTAGTACTTGCTATGGAGAGAATGTGCATTCAAACTGTGTGGTTTTGATGAAAACCTTTGGGTTAGGTGTTTTTTAGGTTTTGATGTAGAACTGTTTGCATAGGGAATGGATTTTTAGTCCCTGTTAAACACCCTCAGACACACAGGCACATGATCACATATTGTTTGCACAGGTGTGTCTGACCTTTAAGTGGACATGTGCAGCTAAGAAGGAAGACCCCCTTTTTAACCTGAACTCTACATTTTCAGCTTAGACTAACCTTAAATTTAAAAAGTTAGGTTTTAAATTAAATCTACTTTCAGCTTCAGTCTGTTCACTGACTGTTGGATGCATATTGCACACAAAGCAGGAAAAGGAAGGGCACCCATTGTTGTCATTTTAATTTTTATCATTGGTAATAAAATTGCATTTGCAAGGTTGATATGCTGAACGTCTAGAAGAACTAATTCCAAACCTTTTGCCAGATATTTTCTTTATGTCAATAGTAAACGTTCTGGCTATGCTCGACTGATCATGTTGTTATAATTTTTTGAGTGAAACCTAGAGATACAGTCACACAAAGGTGTACCTCTTTAGTTTGCAAGACATGTTACGACTGCAGTGTTTTGCTTGACTTGCTCTGTGTGTGTGTGTGTGTGTGTAAGGTGTTAATTATCCGTTACTGTCAATATCCCATTACTCCACACTGCTTAAACCTTAAACATTCATGTGTGATCGATCTCAGTGTCATTCTGCTTGGCCAGAGCTGTTGCATTAGAGAGTACTTACAGTGTCTGCATTGTATTGGTCATTGTTCAACCTGCTCTCTAGATATCAGCATTGGTCATCAAAATCCTGTATGGTTTTACCACTGTGTCACGTACTGTATATAATCCGTCATGATTTACCATGATTTGTATAATATTGTGTCTCCTTACTGATTCCTGATGATGAGCATTCTTTCTCTGGGGTGGTGTTGAATAAATCAGACTTGCTGTATTGAACTGCTTCAAGTGACAGCAGCAGTCAAGGGTCCCTTAAACATTTATAAACCCAGTCTCAAGTCTGGCTGGGTTCATTTAGCTCTCTATATCGGCACAGTATAGTATGCGGATTAAAGTAGGTTTGAACACAGCTAAAGGCGCATTTGATTTCATTTTTCTTTATTTTTCAACCGTTGGCACAAAAACTTAATTTGGCTGATCTTTGACACGATTGTGGGCAGTTACTCAAAGGTGATCGTAAGCTAATTTGATCAAATATTTAATGCTTTTAAAACGTTATAAATTTACATAGCAAATTGGAATCGATAAAATTCCTGAATATATTTTGAGACAAATGTCTTGTTAATGGTTTTCAGTTTTGTTCAAGGTAATTAAATCAACAGTTTTTCAACTGAAGTAAATATTATTGGGATATAATGAAACCATCATATAATCATGTAATTACAATATATGTATTGTTACTACTGTAAAGCCATGTTAAATTATTATCGGATCTCCTTCAAGCCTGTATTCATAAAATGAACATATTTCAATGGCAGTGTATTTTATGAACAAAAATGCTTTTATTTATGAAAATAAACAGAAAATAGTACAAACTGAAGTTTTGAACTAGTATTAACTTAGATATTATGCAAAACACATTACTTTATTTGTCTACAAATAGTTGTGTAGATACTGAGTGGCTTTTGCTCTGAGTGTGGGGTCAAAGGCCATAGATTTATATGATTTTTTTTTTTTTTACCAAAAAAACAAAAACACTTATAATTTTTTTTTTTCAACAAAATGTGTTGCTCTATTAATTTTCACTAAAAAGCTATATATATTTTCTGCAATCATACACAATGGGAATAGTGAAAAGCACATTTTCATTAAGGCATGCCTTTAGCCCTGTTGAACCGAATGTGCTCTGGTTTATTATCAGACTTCTAAGATGTGAACAGACTAGTTTCACCATAGTGCAAAACTCAATAAACAAATAAATAAGTAAAAAGGCATGAGAATGAGCATTTTTGAGTCAGCCATTGCTGTAATTTTGATCTGTATGTGTGTTTGCAGACCGGAGGAGCGTTCGGGGGAGGATGTGGACATTATCTTGGCCCGTCTGAAAAGTGTGAAGGCCTTTGAGAAGTTCCACCCTGCTCTACTTCAGCAGATCTGTCTGTGTGGCTTCTACGAGTGTCTGGAGAAAGGCATCACATGTGAGTCAAACACACACACACACACACATGCACTCATGCACTCATGCTCACACACATATGGTATGAAAACATTGTTTGTTGACAGAATTTCTTCACACAAGGTTGCATTGTGACTGAGTTTGGTGTTAGATTATGATTTTTTAAATAGAGCGCTACTTTCTCTCTGTGTGTTTGTTAGTGTACAGGCAGGGTGACATCGGGACTAACTGGTACACCGTCCTGTCCGGTTCTCTAGATGTCAAAGTCTCGGAAACAGCAAACCATCAGGTACGTTATCACTTCAGTCATGTTTTTAAAATACTAGAGAACAGAGCTCACCCTGTGTCTGAACTATCAAATAAATTATAATATTATCATTTTAGCCCTGTAGTATATACTCATATAAAGTGGCATATACAACGCTATATAGCATATGTAGTATATATGCTATATACAGTAGCAAATCTCAACTGCTTGTTCGTTTGTATCATTGCAAAATTATTATTATAAGGTTAGATAATGTCCAACTTTATCTACATACAGTATATTCCCATAAAGAGCTAATTTTACCATATAGCAAATCTCACCTGTATGTGAAAATAATTAATGTGTATTGTGAAAAGCACTATATAAATAAATCTGACTTGATAATAGAACATACACATACTCATGTTACGGGGCAAACAAGACGTGAGACGTACGGATCCATTTGCAAGCTTTATTAAGGGCGTGGTCAAAACAGGCGAGGGTCAGGCAATGGCAAACAGGTAGGCGGAGCAGAAGACCACCAGAACCAGAAAGCAGACCACCACGGTGGAGCAGAAGACCACCAGGCCGGAGCAGATGGGACAGAAGCCCACCAGGGCGGAGCAGACAGAGCAGAAGCCCACCACAGAGGGCCAGATTGATCAGGAGACCCTGGCAGAGACTGAGACCTAGGAAAAGCAGAGATACGAGAGACAGGCAGTGCATTCACGGTAACAAGGATCAAGGCAGGGAACACAAGAAGTTCATTAAAGGTTTTCATGGCAGTGACAGACAGAGATGAGAATTCCTGAACGGCCCTTGTAGCTGCAGCAGAACAGTCAGTAAGTTCACAGACAGCATCTTCAGGTGTGACAGATAAGGCAGAGAGTTCAGAAACAGCTTCTTTGGCTGGATTGAGACAGGGCAATAGTTCGCAAATGGCCTCTTTGGCCAGTTCAGGATGAGACAATAGTTCGTAAATGGCTTCCATAGCCGTGACAGGACGTACAGAGAGTTCACAGACGACCTCCTTGGCCGGAACAGAACAGGCAAAGAGTTCACAGACGGCCTCCATAGCCGTGACAGGACAGGTAGTGAGTTCATAGATGGCCTCCTTGGCCGGAACAGAACAGGCAAAGAGTTCACAGACGGCCTCCATAGCCGTGACAGGACAGGTAGTGAGTTCATAGATGGCCTCCTTGGCCGGAACAGAACAGGCAAAGAGTTCACAGACGGCCTCCATAGCCGTGACAGGACAGGTAGTGAGTTCATAGATGGCCTCCTTGGCCGGAACAGAACAGGACGAGAGTTCATAAGTGGATACCACTGACACCTCTGGAGGTTCTGCAGCGGATGCCGCCACCTCAGGAGGTTCTACAGTAGGACCATCGGGATACGGGGAGAGTTCAGTAATGGTTCCTTCGACCGTGACAAGACAGGCTGAA